AGTTTAGCTGAAAGAGGGGTTACCGGTAGTACTATGGAAAATTTTACAAATACCCTAGGTACTCGCGCTTTTGGAAACTCCGTTCAATAGACTCACGAAAGAGAGGTAAAGCTTGGGCTTCTCTCTTTCCCCTTCTCTCTTTCTCTCTCTCTCTTCATATATATATATATATATATATATATATATATATATGTGTGTGTGTTTTTCAACAAATAGCGTTTACATCATAAACGGTAACATCTAATTATAATAAATATTTCATAGATTTTATTAATTTTTAATACAAATTTGAAAATTTACGATATATCTAAGCTATTTGTCCGTCGAAAATGTTTGTTTATTTTAAATTTCATCGTGTAATTAATGGAAGAATTTATATCTGCTTTTTCAAAGTTCCGGCGTGTGTAAAAAAAAATTATTGTTTGCATTAGAAGTAAATGTAATATAAAATAAATAAATTTGCATGTGAGAATAAAGCCTTTTTTTTTCTTTTCCTTCTTTTTTCTTTAAAAAAAAAAAACTCACATAAACTAATTAAAAATATTAGATTTTTTACAGAACTTTAGGCCCGGCAACGACCGTATATCTACAGCGTTGTGATCGCCCGCCGTTTCTCATTACGACAAATTAATCAACTGACGTCGAGAACAAATTCGTGGTTTATCTAAACAGATAAATATCTGTTAAATCAGATTTTCTTATAACGGTATCGAATTATTTAAACGAATGGAAAAATAATAATTTTATAAATTAATTTATTATTATTATTATTATTATTATTGGTTTATGTAAATCCTCCATTATTTTGCAAGACTTTTCTCAAGACAAGTGACGTTTGTATAAAGAATTATGTGTATTTATGGCTTCATACTTGTATGCTATTTTTAAATATAACTTGAAGACACATACTGTCGAATTAACATTAAACATTGTTAAACGGGCTTTTCTTTTTACTTTTCTGGAATCGCCTTCTTCTCGAAGTGTATTATTATTGTTTTATTTCCATAATTTCTGGTACGTCATCATTTCTTTCCGGATCCCGCCCAGAGTCCTAAGGTCAGAAATGGCATCAAGACATTTTCTACTGAGCAATTAAAAAAACACACACATTTCACATAGACAGAGAGCTTCGCAAGGTGTGCGCCGTACCTGTGAGAACTATCTTTTATATTTCCTTAAGGCATGGGCTACCAATAATCGCTTCAATGAGTCTATTGCAATCTTTTCCAATCAACCCGAGGGCTCCAACTACAACAGGGATTTTTTTTTATGTTCTCATGTGCCACATTTATGAGATTTCGATTTTCGGGCCCTTGTATCTTGATAGCTTTTTGAAGATCTTCAAAGATACACTGCAGTCTGCAGGGACTGCCATATAAATAAGGAGGCAATTTTTATTTGCGGTCCCAAATAACGATGTCTGGGCGATTAATTTGATTGTTCTGTCTGTGTGTATTTTGTAGTCCCATAAAATTGTTACAGGTCCTATCTCGTAACCGGGTCTGGGTATTGTTATTATTATTATTATTATTATTATTATTATTATTATTACTACTACTACTATTATCATTATTTGTGTATATTATGTTTCCTCCTTTGTAAACTGTATATCCGGGTAAAAAATAATGGTCCTTAGGCTCTATAAAATTGTCATTTAATTGATAGCACTTTTCTTAGTACATGTGATGTTCCTAGTAGGGCGATCTTCTGGCCATTTTGTATGTTAATATTACCTGATATATTAAAATTGTCCATTACTTTTCTCACGAAGCTCAGAGCTCCGATTAAAATTGGTACAGTCTCAATCTTCATATCCCCACATATATATCACTATCTTGTTATGTCTGTGGGTAGTTGCATTTCTCGCTAGTTCAAGACATCCTGAGATGATATGGTCGAGATATTTTTTGCAGATCCTGCATTTTGGATTACTTCCATCCTTGATTATGTGACATTCATAGGATCTTTTTGGGAGACTTTGATCCTGAGCTGCAATAAATTAGGCCTTCTGTCATAGCTTTCAACCCGATGCTTTCAGCCACTGATGTGTTTTCTGTTGGTCCACATCTGCTTCTTTCGTTCTTTTTATGTATTTGTCATGCAACACCATAGAAAACAACAATTGTGCTTCATTGGAAACTGCAGAAGATTGGATGATGATCGGCATCAAAGAACATTAAAGAAATAATAAGCTTTTTCAGTAATAAAGGAAGCCAACAATTTTCAAAACGGACTTTCAAGTGGGTGAACAAATACAAAATAAACCATAAAACACTTTCTGCAGCGGCAATGAACCTCCAAAAGAAAGCAAATGCAATGTATTAGATGCAGACACGATGGCAAGATAAGCATCTTCATGATCAATACTCACTCTGTACCAAAGAAGCTGACGTAAACAAACCCTGTACGCATCAGTGGTTACGTAGTGCAGGGTTAAAAGCTGAAATCGAAGGTTTTATTCTTGCTGCACAGGACCACTCGTTCCTAACTTGAAATTACCAAGCACACATATTGAACAATTGTTTTGACCCCAACTGCAAATTCTATGATAAATATCCAGAAACAAATGACGATTTTGTATCAGGTTGCACATTGTTAGCACCAACTGAATATAAATCTCAACACGATAGAGTGGGCCAATATCTGCACTGGAAAATAAGCCACGTTTACGGGAGGGAAACTGCAAGAAAATGTCATGAACATCACCCAGACCCGGTTACAGAGATAGGACATGTAACAATTTTATGGAACTTTACAATACACACAGACACAATGCTAATCGCCGGAACATCGGGTTCAAAGACCACAGGAACAGAATTTACTTCCTTATAGGCATAGCAATCCCTACAGATTGTAATGAATTCTTGATGTGGAAATCTAAAACATGAGGCACATGAGGACATCAAAATCTCCAGTTTCGTTGGGGCACCCAGATTGACTGGAAAAGTTCCCTGTAGACCCATGGAAATGTTTACTGGTAGCTCATGCCTTAAAAGAATACAAACATTTGTCATGAAGCCATTTCTAACCTTAGCTTTCTGGGGGGAACAAGGAAGTACACGGATATACAACAGAAATCCTAGAAATAGAGGAAATAATAATAATAATAATAATAATAATAATAATAATAATAATAAAAGCTATCAAAATACAAGGACCTTGAAATCGAAATCTCAAAAATATGCCACATGGGAACATCAACAATCCCCGTTGTAGTTGAAGCCCTCGGATTGGTTGGAAAAGATTCCAGTAGACTAATTGAAGGGATTTCTGGAAGTCAATGCCTTAAAGAAATACAAAAAATTTTTCTCACGAGTACAGCACCCACCTTACGAAGGGCTTTGTCTATGTAAAATATTTTTTTCAGTGGGAAACGTCATGATGCCATTTCTAACCTCTCCTGGGCGGGACCCGGAAAGAAATGAGTACACATCAGAAATCAAAGGAAATAAAATAATAATAATAATAATAATAATAATAATAATAATAATAATAATAATTTTGAATTATTATCAATGAAATCCTGAATGGATTATTTAAATATACTGAATTTTAATTAGATTTTAATTAGATTAATTGAAAAAAATTTAAATAGAATATTTTTTTTTTTAATTGAAGAAAACTATTTTCAACAGGTGAAAGCAATCAGTTGTTGAATGAATAGATAGTATTAATAAAAACATTAAGAAAACGTCCTTTAAATCTTATCTTTTACTAATACACTATTACACACACACACACACACATTTATATATATATATATATATATATATATATATATATATATATATATATATATATATATATATATATATACAGTAGGTCGTAAGTATGATACATGAAACGAAAAAGAAGAAATTGATATTGAGTGATGTGAACACAACGTTGGAAATTGCGAAAAGTTGAACAGAGGTCATGGAACAATAAAAAACAAAGAAATTGAAAACATTGCTCAGAAATGGCAAATAAAAAATAGTTTTAAGATTGTCACAAAAAAGAGATTTGACACAAGTTAAAAACGCGATAAGCAACTAAAGTGGATTGACCGGCAAGAAAATATTCTCAAGAAGCTGGTTTTATGTAAATACCGGTAAAAGATTGAGAATTTTAAGAAAATTGTCTAGACATGAAAGCTAGGAAAATACCATTTTAATGTAAACATCACAAATAGAAAAATGTAATTTGGGCAAAAGTATATCGAGCGTGGTTTCTTACCGTATTTATTTAAACTATACAGGAAGACAATCCTAAGACTAACCAGGATTGATTATTGGCGGCCATGATTTTAACAACGAAATATATGCAAATGATATTATATTGACGGCGGACTCATAGGATAAACTGCGAGAACTTCTGAAGAAGGTTACGAGAGAAAGAAAGAAGAAAGTATTTTTAACGATAACACTTTAAGTTTTGATTTGAATCAAAACATCAACCAGATAAATCGAATCATGTTTTTAAATGTCGGTACTTTCATATGGATTCCATAAATGGCGCCAAACTCGTTCAGAAATAGCTCAACTGTCAGCTGAGTACAACCGCTTTCCAGAATAAATGGTTAAAAAAGGCTTTGATCGAGTGAAGCCTGGGAAAAAAATTCTTTGTACATTGTGAACTATACTAAATAACAGAAACCACATCACTTGAGGACGACCAACAGCAGCAACAACTAAAATGAATAGCACATATAACTACAAGAGAAAATAATGACCAAAAAGTTGACTTACCACACTACTTTAAAAAAACGGTTAAGAATGAAAATGTTCATTAGTACTGGAAAGAGCTATAACAGCTACTGGACTTGGCAAACCTGTTTTCCTGAAAATTTGCTTTAAGACAAAGATTTTATGAATTTCAAGTGAAATCGGTTCTGCCTGTTCGGTAAATGTTTCCTTCTAAGGAAACGGTTAATATTACAATTACTATTAAGTATAAGAAAACAAAATGTCCGGCCATCAGCCACATGGATGAGCTTCGAAATGAAACGTCAGATGATTTAAGGCCATATCACGCTGAAGTACCGATTCTCATACGATCACCGCAGTTAAGCAATGTTGTGCTTGGTCAGTATCTAGATGGGTGATCGTTTGTGAATACCAGGTGCAGTAGGCTTATATTATCGGAATTGGAAATCGAAGAACCAAGTTCGAATTCTCGTCGGGTTCATTATATTTACTTACGCGCAAATACTCTTGGGAAAGGTAATGAATTCGACCCATCCCCCAACTATGGGTTAAATAATAGAACTTGCACGAGTAAGTCATTATCATCTCTAAAAAGGTCGTACAATCCAAAAAGAAAAATTCTGTTTTTAAATAAGCTGCAAAAGACAATTATTTCAATAAATAATGGAACCATGATGGCGTAATAGAATTGCGAAATGGCCTTCCAGAATCTAAGCAAAGCATTAAGAAAGAGGAAGATGTCCTTAGAAACAAATAAATGCGTAACGAACCGCTGGGCCATACCAAACCTTTTATATGCTTACATTATTTACATTGTTCGGGCTGTTGTCCTCATATTCATTGCCATATTCACGACGTTTCGGTCGTTGTACGCTCCGATCTTCTTCGGGTGATTGGAATTTCGAACTGAACGCTTTATTTTATATGAAGGGAAAGGCAGATCACCACCCCCTGTTGAATGAGGTTGAAATAATAGACAAAGACCATCACTGGAAGATACGAAAACTTAAGGAATCAGCATATATGCTAGGCTACAAAAATCTCCTAAGCCCACCAAGCATAAAAAATGAATACAATATGGCAACTAGTAACACGGAGTGCTCGAGAAAGCAATAATAACAACATAATTGCAATATAAGATCTGATAAAAATTATAAACCCCCCACTGGATAGAAGCCAGTGACTTGTGAGTTCAATACCGGATTACCGCATTGGTTAAAAAAAACTTTGTTAGTTAAAATTACTTCTTTACTTTTTATCGTCCCTAAAACATGTTTCCTTCTATTTCCCATGCCTTCAGTGTGTATTGTATTTAAATTGAGATAAAGGGAGATAAGTGAGATATCCGGAAGAGACATGGCACGTGGAACTAGAACAATTTACCACGGTGGACGAAATAAGGGGTTCAGTTTCAAAATAATGTAATTAATTACAATATCTCATCTCAGAAATATATATTTTATTATATGATAATAAATGTTGTATAATTTCTTTGAAGCTGAAGAACAGATTTTTAAACAGTGGAGAATACCATGGCCTGAACATGTGAGAAATGAAGATGTTCTAAGAAGAAATAGAAACTAGAAAAATTTCTAAGCGCCGTGTCCCTTCAGGATGCGGTCGATCAAGGCTCTCCACAATGTCCTGTACTTTGTCTTTTTGTTATCTCTCCTAGACCGTGTTCCGCCAGCCATTTATTCAAGCTTGCTTGGTAGGTTATGCGTTGCTGTCCTCTGGATACATCTGAAATTTTATGCAGACATACACACACACACACGTATATATATATATATATATATATATATATATATATATATATATATATATATATATATATATATATAGTTGTTTTTTTAATATATATATATATATATATATATTAAACAAAGCTTTTGTTTTAATATATATATATATATATATATATATATAACATACAACGTGTGTTAGCACGTGCGATACCCTGTCTTCATCAGCCGCCGACCAGGGGTGATCTAACGGTTTTGGTGTCTATGGCGGGACCGCCACCCCTGGCGCCACCAGCAGCGTTTGCCACCAGGCAGGGTATGAAGATAAGCTAATTGTTCCTTTAAGTAAAATCTATCTGCAATGAAAGCTTCTTGAACGCGTTTGCTGTTATTGACGCGCTCGTAAAAGCCCGTATATATATATATATATATATTAAAACAAAGCAAGCCACACTCAACAAATTTACATTTCTAGCTAGTCACAACACATTACATTGCATCTAGATATATGGTTCTGTAGTTAACACTTTGGCTTTTTGCGTGCTATGACGTCATAGAAACGCATCTTGAACTTACGACCTGCGTCTGCTATTCCACGCCCGTTATCTTCTATATCAACATAACAGGATATAATCTTTGTATTCTTCTATGTACCGTATATTTTCAAGGCGTGCACGATCATGGCTCTCCACTATTTCCTTTTTGGTATCGCTCCTAAAATTTGTTTGCTCAGGCTCGTTAGGTAGGTTATACTTTGTTTCCCTCTGTCCTTCTCACCTGCAATCAGTCTTGTGAGTGTTCAATTTTCCAAGCCCTCTTTCCACATTATGTGCCCTAGAAAATTCAACTTTCCCTTCCTGATGTTAAATATATGTTTTATTTTTGTTTAGATTTTCTCTAAAACGTCCTCGTTGCCCACACGTTTGGTTCATGTTATTCTCATCAGCCTTCTGTAGAACAACCTTCCTGCTGCTTCAAATGTCTTCTTTATTTGTGAGAATATTGTCCAGTGTTTACATTCATATAGGAGGACTGATATTACATAACATTTCAGTACTTTTTTCTTTGTTTCTGTTGCATCAAGTCTCTTCGTTATATGTGAGGAGATTGTCTAGCATTCACTGCCATGCAGGAGGATGTATGTTATATAACAGTTTGCTGTTTTGTTTGTTTCTGTTGCTTCAAATCTTTTCTTCATCTGTGAGGATATTGTTCAGCTTCCACTGCTATATAAGAGGACTGTCAGTTATCTCTTGTTAATTCCCCCCTCCAAGTTCTCCACTACCTTAACCGGGTATTGAACTCACAGTCTTTGGGTCCTGTCACTGGATCTAACCAACGCCTTTATCCACTGTGCCATGTGTCCTCAAGGATAACTGATAACTGACATCCATGGCACGTGGAACTAGAACAGTCTACCCCAGTGGGCGAAATAAAGGTTTCAGTTCGACATTCCAACCACCTGAAGAAGGCCGGTGCGTATAACGGCCGAAACGTTATAATAAATATGGCGACAAAGATGAGGATAATATTCCGAATAATGTAAATAGTGTACATAATACCTCATCTCAAAAATATAGACAGATACTGAAAGGCCGAAACATTGTAATAAATATGGCGACAAAGATGAGGGCAATAGTCCGAATAATGCAAATAATGTACATAATACCTCATCTCAGAAATATAGACAGATACTGAAAGGCCGAGACGTTGTAATAAATATGGCGACAAAGATGAGGACAATAGTCCGAATAATGTAAATAGTGTACATAATCCCTCATCTCAGAAATATAGACAGATAATCCGAGATTTGTTCCGATAACTTATCTTTATTTTATACATAGCGCAGATATCCCGAATAGATACAAATCTTATCAGGGTATTTAATCAGACAATGAAGGATTACTTATACAGTGGATATAATCACGTAAAGCATTACCATCATGTAAAGTTCGACTACTCGTTGTGATTTTTTTTTATTTTCATACTAAAGTTCACCAAATATTCATGCGTAGAATATTGCTGTCAAATCTGATCTGGTGCCTCAGCCCTGTACGCTCCGGCTTTCTTGAGGTGATTGGAATTTCGAACCGAAACCTATATTTCGTCCACTGGGGTAGATTGTTCTAGTTCCACGTGCCATGTGGTCAAGGGAAATAACTGAGACATTCGGTAGAGACATGACACGTGGAACTAAAACAATCTACCCCAGTGAGCAAAATAAAGGTTTCCGTTCGAAATTCCAATCAGCTGATGAAGGCCGGAGGGTATAACGGCCGAAACGTTGTGAATATAGCAATGAAGATGAGGATAAAAGTCCGAACAATGTATATAATGTAAATAATCATAATACCTCATCTCAGAGATATAGACGGATACGGAAGGCATGGCACGTGCAACTGGAACAATCTACCCCGGAGGACGAAATAAAAGGTTCATTCCTTTTACCTGAAGAAGGCCGGAGCCTACAACAGCCGAAACGTTGTGAATATGGCAATGAAGATGAGGCTCAGAGTCTGAATAATATAAATAATTTAAATTGTAATACCTCATCTCAGAGATGTAGACAGATATCGAAGGCATGGCACGTGGAACTAGAACAATCTAACTCAGTGGACGAAAAAAAGTTTCGATTCGAAATTCAAAACACCTGAAGATGGCTGGAGCGTACAACGGCTGAAACGTTGTGAATATGGCAATGAAAATGAGGCTAAGAGTCTGAATAATGTAAATAATGCAAATAATCATAATACCTCATCTAAGAGATACAGAGACCGAAACGTTGTGACTATGAAAATGAAGATGCGGCTAACAGTCCGAATAATGTAAATAATGCAAGTAAGCATATAATTTTAACACAAAATAAGTAACAATTTGCTAAATAAAAACCAGAAAATCTCATTCAAAATGTTTCCCTTTCTGGTGGCATCTGGGAAGTATCTGCAGACTTTCCTGGTTGGCGTAATGATTACCCCAAAATAATATCAAGTAAAGGTCTGCGACCAGATATTGTTCTTCTGTCAAGAGTGAACCATAAAATCATCCTGGTTGAGTTAACAGTACCATATGAATGCTGGATGGAACAAAGCCACGATTATAAAACTAAATATGAAAATCTAAAGTCAGAGCTAATAAAGGAGGGGTATAATGCAATTGTTAGAGCAGTGGAGATTGGAGCAAGGGGTTTCGTTTCAGGCACTCTGTACAAATTTCTGGGCCAAATTGGAATCAAAAGGCGTAATAGGACCAAGAGTATAAAACGCCTAATAGAAGTAACAGAAAATAGTTCTATGTGGATATGGAAAAAACGAAATACTCCGTGGAGTGTTTCAGCGAACATGCCGGCATGATATGTCTGATCGTGAATGCGTAATGAGATTCACGTTTCATTCTCAGAACGCGAGGTTTGCCGTTTTTCGGAATTTTCGTAAATTTAATTTCGCCGTTACACATTTGAACTAGTTTATCTACAACACTTGTATATCGTTATAATGGGGCCTCTCATCAGTGAGGGGGGCCGGTGTGCAACTGAAACCGTTGAGAGGAAGGCCCCGAAACGGTGCACATTCTCTCCTGATGACCCCAGTTTAAAATTCAAGAGGAACACATCAAATTCAGTGAGTTCATATGCTCGGTGGAAGTGTCATTGGCATGAGGAGCATTATACATTCAGCTCGCTT